AAAGTTAGTATTCTTATTCCCATTTTACAGAAGAGGAAACTGAAACCTGGGGAAACCTAATAACTGCAACGCAATTGACCTAAAAAATAATCTGACTTTAATTAGTTTGTTCACTTAATTGCCAGGCTCTGGGCTTTCTATCAACCCAAGGTAGGAGTCCCTCTCTGAGATTTAATATCATGTAATCCTAGCTTTGCTCAATTGTCAGATGGGAGATAATACGTGACAATGTCCATAAGACAGCAGGACCAAAGTCAGGGTGGTTAATAAAATATCACTCTTAGTCTGCTCTTTGAGAGGGAACTTTTGAATGACACCTACCTGGATCCTTTAGAAGAAAGCATCTCCTTACACTTCTCTGTGTTCAGTCCTCCCTCCTCTTTCACTGTGCCCATGAAGCCTTCCCCAACTCCAACAGCTATTAAATGCCACCCTGTGTGTTCTAAAAGGATTATCAGTCTCATTTTACACCAAAATAAAGCTATTTAGTTGCCCAATTATTTCAATAGATTTTGAGCCTCTTAAGAGACAAGACTGCATCTTATGCAGTACTGTGACCCTCCTGTCTTAAACACTAAGTAATAAATAAATGCATCATGCTCATTTAATAAATGAATGAAGACATTGCACATTCAGATGTAGTGTTCCAATCTCATTCCTATCCAGTGAAATCAACAGGGGTGACAYAAGCTCTCTATTTTTATTCTAATCTATCAGGTCAGAGGAATATCTACTTTTCCTTTATTCACCCAAAACATTTTCAAAAACTTTCCATCTGAAAGTATTTTGTGTAACTCTCACTTCTTCAAATCACTGTATCTGATTCAGTTTGGCTTCTACTCTCTTTTGCTCAATGATATTGATAAATTATATTATTTTAGAGAATCTAAGTGCATTTCTCTTACAAATATCAATGGGAACAAAGGGAAAGAACTATTGAGAAGTGGGAAGAATTTGGTTGTCAGCGGTAGTATACCTGGGATGTGAAGGTGATTGAAGCCTTTGATGTGAATGGTCAGCAGCACTAAAAAATTCCTGTGCATTTTAGAAGCTGGAGGCRCCAGTGTGCCAGAGAGGGCTTTCTAGCTGTTGCAAACTGAGTGCTCAGAGGCATGTCTCTCCAGGTGCTTCTTTCCTAGACACTGACAGTGAGAGATCCTGCCCTCTTCTCGAAATCCTCCAGCAGTAAAGTGGGACCCAATGCTCTGTGCTGAGGAAGAACCAAACCAAGGTGGGAGCCCAAGAAAAAGGATTAAGGACCTTGCCCCAAGCCAGGAACCATTAGTTCTCAAAAACACAGAAGAAAAAGCTGCAGAACATGAAAATTGGAAAAAGAAACTTTGTTGCAACTGTTCCATCCAAGTCCTRGGTTTTACTTCTCATGTTACTTTTCAGATAGGACTATTTAAATTCTCTCAGATTAAAACTATAGAAGGATAATCAGTTCTTCTTAACTATAAAAAATCTTCTCTTGTTATTTAAAAAAAATATTTATTCATGCTGTTTCCCAACCATTGGAGGAAAAATGAGGATGCATTATAGCACTTTTTAACAGTGTTTTTTAATTGAATGAAAGTATAGTTGTAACGACTACTTACAGATGTTATTTCATTTAATTTCACCTAATTCTAACAAAACTGTTGTGAAATAGGTATGTTCTGCAGCTGAGAAACTGAAGCCTATGGAGGTTTAGTAACTTGCTGAAAACTCAGTAAGAAACAAAGCTATTAACCATATCAGATCTCCTCAATCATTCTTTTACTTTATAAAATTCACTTTCCTTTAATATCTCTTCCAGTCTCTGCCAGAACAAAGGTGCCTAGCTGACTTCCTTACGGTGCTGAGCTCTGAATAAGGAGTCTTTGATTAATTCCATAGGTAGTCTTTATTCTTTTGACAAAACACTCTCAAAAGAAGAACCAGTAATTTAGCTATTATTCCTGAATAAATTAAACTACACTAGAACATTACAAAAATGACAATACATACAACTAATGTATAAACAAAACAAAATGAGTATAGAAATAACATTTTTTAAAAAATCTCACATTTCAGTTTCCCAAAATGTTTTCCCCTCCAACATACTTTAATTGCTGTGTCTTAGGGCTTCAGCATTTGATTTTACTGAACTCTCTGGTCTCCTGGTGTCTCTCCTCAAGACCCAGGTTACAAACACAGTTACTTCAATTCTACTTGCTTGGGGGTGGGTGGGGTAAGGAGWAAAATGTGGGGTCTATCTCTGCAGCACTCTTCCCATCTCAATAGGACATTGGTAGTTAGTGGAGTGAATACGTAAGTATCACTATATACAAAGTCCTCCTTGTTAGGCACATAACAAGATTTTCCATATATGATCTATTTAACTCACAAACAATCCCAGAAGAAAGACTGCCACCAATTTATAAATGGGGAAACAGGTTAGAAAGGTTAAGGATTTCCAACAATATCATACAGCCCAAATTATCTGGGTTGAGAGCCTCACATGCCTTGGTGGGAGACCATGCCTGAATCTATTCCTGGGGACTAATGCACATATTTAAAGAGCAATGCCTGTTCCATATCCAAGAACCAGAGATGTCCCATGACCCCTTCCCTACATCATTGGCCTCCTTTGGGTCTTATACCCTGTAGTTACTGCCACATGGAATCCTGATAAGGACTCTCTATGGTTAATAACATGCATTTCTTCTACAAATACAGAAGATGAAGCTCAGGAGTTTCAAGAACTTACCCAAGGTCACAAAGTGAAGGGGAGGACTAGAAATAGAACTTTCACTAGTCTGGGCTTTATCACCAAGTTAACTTGCTTGGGCTCTGCACAGTTGAATGTCTGCCAGGACAAACTGAGTAGTAGATGTTATTTCAGTGGTCCAGCAAAACTTTCGCCCAGGTGGTGTTGGGGTTCCTGGTGGATAGTGGGGACTTCTCCCAGGGAATGCAGAGACAAAACTGATCTCTGAGGTGTGTGCTGGGGGCCCTACCACACCAGTCTTCTCAGCCAGGCCACACCCCCAGGATATGCTTCAGCTGGGCAGCTGTGATCCCAGTCACTCTCAATTACCCTTAAGTGACATTTTCTGTATTTTCTGGCTGCCCAACTGTTCTACCTGGAAGGACTGTGCCTTCATCTACCCCTGCAAATCCTAACACGAGCCTTCCTGGAGGGACCATGCCCCAGCAAGCACCCTGTGACTGTCTGCAGCCCTTACAGGACAGCTCCATCTTCATCTTGTGCTTTGTTGAGGGCTCCAGCAAGCCTGGAAAGACAAGGGGCGCATCTCTCCCCTCTGAGTTCCCTCCCCTGCCACCGGGCGGGGACCTGGCTTTGTTTGTGGAATTAGTGATTCCTCCTCTTCTGTTAAGGCTGAAAACACACGTTTGGTCCCCGCTCGGGTGGGGCCCAGCTAATCAGAATGAGAGGTTCTTTGAAGGGGTGCGCTGTCAGAGGTGGCATTCCTATTTCCACCCAGGCACCTGGTGTCTTACACGCCACAGAGAGGTCTATGGTACAAAGCGCCGTCGAGCGGGACTGCAGAACTGCCTTTGCTGTTACCTCCGCCCACAGATCCCCTTCCACACTTGCGTGTGCACACAGGCCAAGATGGAAGGCGCCATCCTAACTTCTGCCTTGCGCAGGTGGGAGGGAAGAGAGACGAGAGGTATTCCATTGGTTGTCTTGTCTGGGAAAATGAATTGAACCTTCCCCTCACTCGCGGAAGATCAACTTTTCCCACCCCTTTGGTTGGGCACTAGCATCTTGGGGCCACAGCCGTATCTGGGAGCCAATGGGTTCCAGTTCCAGGGTCTTGGAGCTGGGAGGGCAGCAAACGTTGGTAGACCCTGAGAAAAGTGTTTTACAGCGTCCCGAGCCCCTAAAGTCTCCTCTAGGGCAAATGAGCTGGTATTGAAATCGACCAGTTGGCTTGGCGCACAGGGTTGCCGGCCAAGCAGCGCGCGAACCCCTCCCCTTCTTGGCGGGCCCGCACATGTAGCCCTCGCCGGCCCCCCCTCCACCCCGGATTACGCGCGGGTCCTGCAGTATTGTGGCGGAGCTGGGCTGCCTGGCCCGCGGGCAAAGCGCCGGCCGCGGCATCCCGTGCCGGGCCGCGGCGCGATGCTGCGCTGGAATGAGGAAGCTTGGCTGCAAGGGGAGGGCCCGGGCGCGCTGCGCGCGGGGGTGGCGGCGGCGCGCCGAGCGGGCCCGGCGCGGGCGAACGGGCTGCAGCCGGCGGCGGCGCCAGCAGGTACGGCCCGTGCCCGCCGCCACCCAGGCAGATTTGGGGATCTTGGCCCCAGTCCGACGCCGCTACAAAGTTTGTGCGCGCGCCACGACAGGCCCCAGAGTTGCTGTTGGGACGGGCGTCCGGCAAGCTGGGATCCAGCGGTGGGGACTGAGACGGGACGRCGCGCACCTCTCCGCGTCCCGTTCTGTTTTCAGCTCCGCTCATCGGTCCGTATACCGGAGCAGCGCACCCAGAGGCGGCCAAGGCGCGCGCTGGGCCGGGCGGACTGAGAGCAAGTCAAGCTGGACACTGGCAGTGTGCGCCACCCCAAAGTTTTCGGAGCGCAAGGCGGGGGCGCGCGCGCTCGGGCCACCGCCGTTCTGGGCGGCCGCAGGTGGAGACGCGCGGGCGCGACGGGGGCGGCCGCTGCGGAGGGAACGAAGTGCGCTACCCGCGGGCGGCGCTGTGCGCGCGGGGCAGCCGGTCGGCAGGGAGCTCGAAGCCGGGTCGGAGCCGGCGGGGGGCGGGGAGTGTGGCGGAGAAATGGGGAACAATGCGAGTGAGCAACTTCAGGAAGTCATTGTGAAAGAAAGCTGGGAAGAGCTCCGCGGCCAAGTTAGCAGGGCACTCTAACAAGTGCCTGCGCGGCCCGCGCCCAAAGTGGCGACGCGGGGACAGCTCTGGGCCCCTGAGCAGCCAGCGTAGTACAGCCCGGGCGGGACGCGGGACCGCGGCAGGGCGGGTGACCCGGTCGAGACCCACAGGGCAAAGGGAGCCCGGCTCCAAGGTCGCTCTTCACGCGGAGGATCAGTCTTGGCCCCCAAAGTGCGACGCACAAATCCACGTGAGTGTTTTCAATTTCAGTAGGAAAACTTGGGTAACTGGTGAATTTGATTTTTTTTTTTTTTCCCTGAGAGCTGGAAAGGACAGACTAGGCGGTAACATTCGTAATCCCTGGTGTCGGTGTTGCTCACGTCAGCCTCTCCATTCTGAGGACAGTGAGAGCGATGAGTTTTGTCAAAGCCTCTGCCGCTTTAGGCTGTGACTGTAGGTGCAGGATCAGGCCAACACGGGGCACTTCTGAACAGCTCCGCTGTCACCAGGAAGATGTTCTAGCTCCTGCTCATATTTAAATTCATATATACACATATAGTGGGATCACAGAATTCAACCTTTATAAAATCATTTATAAAGTCATTTGTAAAAAAATTAATTGAAAACTTTTCTTATTTTTGAGGTAAAAGCATTTTGCTTCTATTAAGCCTGAGCTTGCTTTCTGCAAAACAGAATTATCCCGGTTTTGAAAACTTGGTACTTTTGCTCCCTGTGGGTCAGAAAACCTTCTCAGGAAAACTCTCAATAATAGTAAAACATCAGATCACTTGAGGTTTATTTGAAATGTATTTTTWAAATCTGTCAAGCATCATTGGTGATTCCTCAGGAATCTCAGAAGCGGATGACTGTTTTTCCTTCTAATTTGGAGGCATACAATATCGCATCCAGTGGCCAAAAAACTAACGATTCCATAAGGTCTGAAGCTGCACAGGCTTCACATGCAGTTTCCCTTCCCTTTGGGGGCTGTAACCCACCCAGAGTGAATTTTAACTCGGGGCTTTTCTCACGTTACCCACGCATGATTTCCCACCCTGCTGCAGAGTGTATTTCATCTTTGAAGTACCTTGTTTAAACTTCCAAAGACAAAATGATGTTAAAGAAATATCTTCTTACTAGTGAAATCAGTTTCTGGTAAGAAAGGAAAATTTATAAAAGTTGAAAATACTTAATATGTATAATATTTTTAACTTTAATGGAAATTCAAATGCTTTTAAGAGTGGTTCATTCGGGTAGGGTTATCAGTTGAGGGGGGAGTGACACCTTCAAGAAAATGCCTGCGCCCTCTTGAATTTCTTTGTTTGAAGGTGTTTGTTCAGTGAGGTTAGTTGGATCATCTTTTATATGGGATTTTAAAAAATAACAGGTTAAGCATCATTTATATTAGAATGTGTCTGAATTGCTTCAGTGACACATTGGATTATTTGGTATACGGCTTAAAATTTAAACAGAGGCAAATATTCATGATAGGAAGATTCACCTGCTTACAGTGGCATCCTGTAACACGCAGACCATGTTACAGTAATAACTATGATTTCACATTTTAAAAACTGTAACATCTCATTTGATAGAATATTTTTAATTTCACATTTTCCCATGAACATACCTTTTTACATGGGGAAAAAAGTGAGCTTCTCAGTCTTGCAACCCACCAGAGCTGGTGACAAATATATTTTGAGTTAAATGGTCCTGTTTTCTTCCCCTTTTGTATCCTGGTGATAGTTGAAGGCTGGAGTTTAGAAACAGTACAGTGCTTGTTTGTTTAATTCATCAGTGCCTTAAATTAGAGGTCTTCATCTGAGAAAACTACATCTTCCTCCCCAAATTCAGGAGCATTTTAGCAATAATAGCCCACCATTGTGGTCTCACAGGAGACCACAGTGGCTACAAATAAAAGTGTAYTGTGTTTGACTCTTTTGGGAAGTTTGTGCACAGTCTCCTAAACAAAAGGTAGACTGTAGCCATCCTTAGAGATGATTCCTTTGTTCAAAAGTTAATATCACAGTGAATTTATTGACCAAGAGGTCTAAAGCCCAGCAGAGTTGTAGGCCACTGTATTTTCTTTACTTGGCCCAAGACTTAGAGTGAGAATGGTGTTTCTTTGGTTTGGGGAATATTTTCTCTTGATTTGTATTGGTGAGCATCAGATTTGCTTAATGCAGTAGCATATTATCAGTATAAACGTTAAACCTTTAAAACCTAAGAGAATTACATGTCTTTTATATCAAGATTATGTATACTAATACATACAGTAAATAAATTACATATGTACATGCATACACACACACACACATAGCATGCACACAGTGTGGAGTGAGGCATGCACGCAGTGTGGAAGAGTTTTAAATCATACAGACCTAACATGAGTAATATAGCTACCATTTTTTTTTTTTACCTTTTACAAAAACAAAATGAATTTCTCTATTTAGAATGGTGAGTTTCAATGTAAATGATAATAGTATTTTGATTGTTTGCCTAATTTTGTGTTTTCATCTCATGTAACTGCAGTTAGCAGAGGATTCATAAAGAATAGCACTGTTTAATGTTATTTTTCTCCTTCTCTAATCTTTGAAATTACATAGCAATTTCACTATGAAATAAGTACTGGTTCTTGTACTGTATTCTAAGGAAGAGTCTTGTAAGTGGATCCAGCTCGTAGAAAGCAAACGAAGAGCCCTCTGAGGTTCTCTGGAAACCTTGACTTTTGCTGCCTGTTTTTAAGAACTGACAAGCATTTGGGGCACTGTGGCTTCTACTTCTCACCACAGAGTTGCTGAAGCTCCTTTTCTGACTGTGAACACCACTCCCTGTCCAGTGTCCTTATATATTTGTATTTACAGAGAACTCAGAACTATTTCATTTCTTATATGCATGGTATAGTCTTTCCACTCTATGGGAAGAAAGATGAGTTGCAAAAGCAACAAGTGACCATTCTTAAAGCATAGAAGCAAAAATATGAATCCACTTCACGTCTTGAAAGAAGTCAGTTTATTTGGTTCAAAAAAAAGGCACAAGTACATTTTTGATCTGGGTCTTAGAAATGGTGAGTTTCAGAGGATCAACATTAAACTCACTCTTTCTGTTTCACACACACAGACACACAGACACACTCTCTTAAAATTCAGATAAGGTGCTAAGGAGAACTGGGATTTTGTTAGGGTCTTAGGACACCCCAAACCAAACTACATAAATAGCAATAAAACTGTCTTGAACTCTGGTGCTGATTAAATGCTCATACTGGGGTTCTTCATGTCAACTATGGCTTCATTGTATTTTTTTTTTTCATCTTAATAAGTGCCTTCATACCTCCATCTCCTTGGAATATATGTTCCAGTTTTTAGATTTCTAGTGCCATTGCTTTAATAGCTTTTGACATAGCTCTTAACTGTTCTTAAATATTCTAACAAATATTTTTAARACATGATGAAACACCAAGGATGTAGTGCTGCACATTACAGATGAAATACAGCAGCCACTAAAAGAAGGTTTGCAAAAGGTTTCAAAGTGGGGGTGGGGGTGCCTACCCCTATTTTGTTGTGTGCTGGTGGTTACTCCTGAAAAGGGCCCATAGGGAGAGCAACTGAGGCCTAATCTGTAGACAGTTGGCACATCGTTTCAGTTGACATTTTCTCTTTCTCATGGTTGCCTGTGATAAATAGGTGGATGCAAGAGGTGTCTTCAGCCAGCCACCTGGTGAAAAACTGTTAAAAATGCTGAAAACCCCAAGTCACAGGTGTGGAACCCATTTGTCTTCTCCTTCTGAGGCCTGAGCCTTTTTCTTTTCTTCCTTGGCCATTTTGTGCCTTTGGGGAACTCACAATTCCTGTTGACTAAAAGAACACCCTTTTCCACCACACGCCTGACAAATCAGACGTTCAAATAATTTCTGAACTCGTTTTTGGTTAGGACAGGAAGCCCAGGCTCCCTTCCTGTGTGTGCTTTCCTGAGAGAAAACTAGCTTCCCTCCTTTTTTGCATATTTGGCAACTGGTTCCACCTTTCTCTGTGCCCCAGTGGAGTGTCAAGACGGGTAGTAGGACCTCTGAGGAAGACAAGGAGGGAGCTGAGGCCCTACCACCAGGCACCAGGATCCTTCCAGGTGGCTGGGTCAGAGAGGGACTCTGAGAAGCAGGGTCTCAAAGTCGGGATTTGCTTGGCTGTGAGGAGGCAAGTTGGTTGGTGAGTGTCACTGAGTGTCTTTGCTGTGCTTGTATGGATTGGAATAGCCAGTGTGGTCCTCTGTTTCTCTGTTTTTTTTTTTTTTTTTTTTGTGGTGGGTGGCCTGCTCTCAGAGTGGCACCCTGGCACCCTGTCTGGGCTCACTGTCTTGGGGTGATGGAGAGCATCATTATGCTCCATCTGCACATTCTGCTTTCGGGTTGGCCCCATGCTCCACCTCCTGATGGCTTGTGGCACAGGGCCATGGCTTAACGAATTGCTTAAAGTGGGCACTAATTAGTGCCAAAGTGCTTTCTTCATATTTTCTCATTCAAGTGTGCAGTGATTCATTTTTCTTCAGCAAGCAGCTCCCTGCTACAGAAAATCTGACTCTTCCCGCCATTTTCTCACCAGAAGTTAATGATAATGGATGGATGGTTACATATTATGGACAGCAGTGCATTGTGAAGGAGGAATCCACCACTCTCGTGTCCTATCTGCCTTGTCTGTCTTTCTTTCTTTCTTTCCCTCTTTCTCCTGCCTTCCTTTCTTTCTTTCTGTCATATGTGTGGTTTGGGGACACACTGAAATAACTAAGAACTGCAGGAAGTGTTTGTAAGGCATGTTGTATATTGAAGTAGATTTTTGTGCTCCATTTTTGAGATCACACACAAAAAATCTACACTTTACACCACTTTCTGTTAATTTGAAACTGTTTGAAAGTGAACAATATGCTCTGGAGTTAGAGACTTTTTCCAAAGCTAGGGATTCTATATTGACTATTGATTTTTTTGATAGTTTTTGATATTTTTTTAATTTGTTATATCATCACATTTTCACTAGGACAAATAAAATTCCACAAAAGATACCTCCCTGGACCTAATAGGGAAAATGTTTAATTTTGAATCTTTTGAAGACATGAAAATGAGGAATTGACCTTTAGCTTACTTCTGAGGCACTCTGAAATGTGTTCCAGTGCTTTTAATGGAAACTAGAGAAAGCCATCGACCCCCTACTGCGAGCCCCACTTTTAGCCTGAAAAAGTGACCTTTTTCCTTCTTGTTTGTGCTGAATT